TTGCCAGTTGTTTCACTTCATATATTCAGGAAAGATGTTCAGTTTTGAGGACATTTTATAAAATATAAAAATAAAAAAAAACCTGAAACTACATCTATCTCTTATCAGCTAAGGGTTAGAATCCACAAATAAATGAAAGTCAGAATTTCTGTTAGGTGATATCCATAACATTCATTTTCTTTTCTGAAGGGTGTTTGGAAGAATGGTCTAGAATCTCTGGAGGAAACACTAATTTGTCTTACTTTTAGTTAGTGTAACTAAGAGTGAAACTTCTTCGATTTCATCTTATTGGCAATTGTATTGGTTGAGTAACATCTGTACATCTTGGTGCTCAGAATAAATGTGTCAGTATTTTTATAATTACCAACATTAGACCTTGGGAGCACTCAAGTCAAAAGGTCTATACATTCTAGTTATTAGTTATAAGCTCCTTGCATTTCTGCTCCACACCTCAATTATGAGGAGTTTAGCTCTGTTTTTGTGTAACTTCTTTTGTCTGTTCTGTGAATTTTTCTGTTTCACTGGATAAAGTTATGAGTCCCTAGAAATGATGACTATACCTTGTTGTGGGTTACTTTATTATAACGTGGGACCCTCCACTTTCAATTTAGAGAAATGATATTGTACACATCCAATACATTTCCTCCACAATATCCTCCAGCTCCACAGGCACATGTTTGCACTTTCCTCTTGTTAAAATTGCAGACAAGAATAATTTTGATTTATTGGTGACATCTAATATAGCTGTGTTTATATTGTTGCCAATAAAATGACTTACATGATTGGTTTTTGTTTATACAATCTTTTCTGAGGAGTCAGTCACCTGTGTTAGGACAAGGTACATTCTGCTTATTAAAATGAACTCCTGGGATCTAAGAACATTCAGCTCTATCTGTCCTTGATTGAATTGCAGAATGTGCTTCACACTGTAGCTGTGCATGAGAATAACTTACATTATCTATCAATAGGCTTTCATTTCTATATTCTTCTGGCTACAAAAGCTGTAATAAGAGAAACCCACAGGAATATCACAGGCCTATTAACGATCAAGGCAGCTGAGTTGAAAAGGCTGTGTTAATGAAATTATACAATCATTAATCCAAAGGGGAGGAAAAAGTAGAATCAATAAGAACTCTATTTGAGATGGTTTAGACATAAACACATATATACAGACTCAGGAGAAGTTTCTTTCCTGACCAGTATTTTATGCTTCATTATCAGGTTTTCTGTGCAGAGTAAGAAATACTTGTGGCATAAGGAATGGAAAATGTAACAGAGGCTAAATGTAGCCTAAGGAAATGAAATGATGTATGAAAATTAATAATTAACTGGCTCATCAGATGAATTATGACTCTAGATGAGCCTATTAATGATATTTGCTAAGAAAGGGCCTTTGGCTGTAAATAGACATTATGGAACTTGTGTTTTTGGAATTTTCTCGAATGGATGAGTTAACATTGCTTCCGTTTGTTTAATTTCTTAATCCACGAGGAACAGTGCCTGGAACCTTAGGTAGAATGTAGAGTTATGATTTTATATTTTGATTAAAGTCATGCTTTTCCAGAAAAATAGTGCAATTTTAAATGGTTTTGTGCCTTAGTTTCCTTAGGGGTTAAGTCATTTCCTCCCTGACCTGATTTACAGGAGTGTGTTTTAAGAGTTTGAAAATGGTCAAGAGGAAAGATTTATTAACTCTTGTGTTGACTCATTAGCTGAACGAACATTTTTGTCCTGCAATCCAATGGAGTATAAAAACATAAATGTGTCAATACACCAGATCTAAAATGTCCTAAATTTATACCTTTTCTTTAGTTTCTTTTCTTTTTCTCCTTTTTTTTTTTTTTTCTGTTGGGTGGTGGCCTGGGGTAGAGTAGTTGGATGGAGGACAAAAGGAGAAAATGCTGAGGAATTTGATCAAGTTTTTAAATAGAGATTCTTCCCATGGAATTCTATCAGTTAGGTGTTTTTACAAATTAGTTGTGGTTTTATTTTCTTTGCAATGAGTGGACTCATTTTTCCTGGTTAGTGTTGTCTTTCTGCATGCTGCTGGCAGGAGAACCTTCCTGTCTGCTCTTGCTCTGATGGAGCTGGTCGACACTGACATTACTTTTGCTTCCATGTCTCCCCAGTCACCCTAGATTTAAGGGCCTTGGATGCAGCAGAATCTACATATGTATTCCTGATTGCAGTCAGTGGATATTTTAGTTAATCTTTCATACTCCAATTATCTGGAATAACAGAAAGTCAAGAGACCACATGATCATAGTCAACCTTTGGGGATGAAATCTCTAAGTCCAGACACATTACAAATGGCTTGCCAGAAATGAAACTCTGGCCTCTTGACTGTTTGAGTGCTCTTTTTAAATTTGACTCTACAAGCATGTGTCCTTAAAAATGAGCAATTTCTTCCTTTTTGGTTACCATGTAGACTTAAAATTTTGTCCTGTTCTTATAGCTTAGCTAAGAAGTATACAACATATTATAATAAGAATAAGCAAAATTTATATTTGCATTCTGGTATCTAATGCTTGAAAAAAATCTGTTGGCACATTAATAAGAAGATGAGAATTTTAGGTATATTTTCACATGTAGTTTAGTTTTGTCTTGGTCTTGTTCAGCTCACATGCCATTGACCTGTTGCTTTTTCTTCTTGGTATTAGTTACTTTACTTTTTAGGTGCTGCCTTTTCAGTAATAAAATTTAAGTACATCTTGTTGTTGTTTTTACTTTCAACCTAAAGCTATTTAAAACAGGAGTGCAGTTTATAAAAAAAAAAGAAAATAATTGCAAGTCAGACAGGTGTGAGTGCCTGATACTTAATTAAGTTCTCAGCACTTTAATTATTTTCCCTTCTTGCAGACTCACCTTTTTAATGATCGAACCTAATGCTAAGTATTTACTTAGGTGTTTTTATCCAAATTTTTGATGAGAATTCCTGCTTGTGTATGATCTTCTTGCCAAAAATGACTCCCTTATTTTTAAAAACCTGAAAATGGCCACAGTCTGCAAATCTGCAGACACTTGTCACTTGGATCCTGGTCTTAGTGACTCATATTTCCAGTCATGTTGAACAATTCTTCATTTTCAAAAAAATTGCCAATGTGACATTTTTCATTGCCTTTTCTTTCCTTTTTATTGGGTGGATACAAAAATAAGTGATTTCTTTTGTAGGGCTCAGAGCACTCAGAAAACATTTTATCAATGAGTGGAGAATAGTTTTATCTGGCAAAGCATGAAGATATTAAATGACTCTTGCTCATGATCAACCAATAAATGAATCAACAGACTGGCTGGGAATACACTTGGATTCTTCTACAGAGTCACAACAAAAAAGGCACTGGAATCTTTCCAGTGTTAAAAAAAAATTTTTACAACCAGTCCGATATCAGGGTCTATTTCTTAATTTTCCATAAATGAATCATTTAGTTTGGATAACTTGAACTTGTTGGTCCTTCAAAGGGCCTGAAGGGCAGGGGAGGGCAGGAGTGAGACTGGACTTTGAGGAGTACTTTTGAGTGTTTTCCTAGGACTGGATGGAAAGGCAGTGTTGAATGTGAGAGACCAGTGGAATTCTTAGCAAAATATAGAATTGGTGAAAATGAGGAAACATTCCAGGTTTTATTTTGTTAATTATTTTTGAAGTTCTTCAAGATAGACACATACAGTAAATTTTGCAGAAGGTATATGGAACACTTGAATTGAAACTTAAATATATTTGACTTTCTGGAAACTATAAAAGAAAAAAAATTCACCAGAAGTTTTCCTTCCTTACTATTCTTTCCTTGATGACTTAAGGAGTCATTTGTTTTGAAGTGGAGTTGAAAATGTTTGTTTCAGACCTTGAGGAGATCTCACAGCAAAAGTGAGAATCATCCAGTTGAGAACATCTGAATGTTTCTTCTTTATACGCTGTCCTTATTTCTTGTGTTTGTCCAACTTTGGCTTTTTTCCATAACTATCTTGTCAGTATAAAAGACATATTATGAACGTGTCTATCAAACATTTAGAGTAGTGGCATTACCATGGCACTTGGCCACCTCATTGCATACACATTATTCAAGAGAGGGAAGGGCTTTCCTTGATAGTTTAGAACAATGGAGAACTGATAGTATCACATATGGATAGATGATGGTGTCCTGTGTTAATGTCAGTCCTTCTCTTGGTTCCTGCATAGGAAACGTCATGAGACTATGGACAACGTCCAATACATCTTGCACTGTAAACATACTGGATATCTTACTGTTAGAAGGACTGTTCTTTCCTTGTGCTTTCTATAAGGCATTTTGCACAGCCTTCTCTTTTCTAGGACTTCAGTGGAAGGTTAGAGTATTGTGTTGGTTTTATTTCTGTTCTTGTAATGTAGGATCCATATAGAACCAAAATTCTAATGCTTCTGTGAATGTTTGAATATAAGGATTTATGAAACCTTTGCAATATTCTCAAGCCCAGAATTTAATCTTTTGTAAATTTAGAGATTTTGAAAAGATTGCTCTTAGACTGAAGATCAGAGGTGGTGTAATATTCCTATTATCTAGTATAGAGGCCTTGTCTGCTTTGTGTTTGTTTACCAGGAACTTTGTAGCATTTGTCTCATAGCTCAGGAAGGTGATGCTTTTGGATTTTCTAAAAACCACTGTACAAAAGTGAACTAGTATGGACAGATCCTTCAGGCAGCAAGATAAGTTTCATTTTTCAAGCTGGCACCAGTTGATTGGTCATAGTTGCCAAGCACTGTACTGAGAAGGGCTCAGTGGCAAACAAAACAAGGTAGTGATCCATAGTCCATATCTACCATGAATACAGAAGGGGAGAGTACCTGCCAATGAGCCATGTATTTGATGACTTCATTCTACAAAAAAAGGTCATTTTGCTAAGAGGGCTTCTTTTCTTCCTGATATGAATGCTACAGAGGTTAAAATGCTACAGAGGTTAAAAACTCTTCGCTGTACTTTATTTTTATTTTTACTTTAAAAAATGCCCGCATTTATTTTTTTAAACAGGCTTATAACCCACACCATGGATAACTTATTGGACTTTGCCTGAAAGGAGTCATTAGTGCCATTGGATATTTGACCATCCTGGCCACAGGTTTTTTCAGAATGAATGGAAGGTCATGCAGCATGAGTCTCCACCGGACATCAGGAACCCCACAGGGGCCTGGGATGGTCAGTGGCCAACATATTCCTCCCATCCGAGCCCACTCGGGGACTCCTGGCCCCTCGTCCTGTGGCAGCACACCAAGCCCTGCTATTGGAAGCCTTGTTAACAGCCTCCACCTCAAGATGCCCTCAGGAGGAGGGATGGCTCCTCAGAACACCCTGACTGAGAGCTCTGTCCACCTGCCTGCCCTGAGCCCCAGGAGACAAGTGCTCACCAATGGGAAGCCACGATTCCAGGTCACCCAGGCTGGAGGCATGTCAGGGTCACACACTTTAAAGCCAAAGCAGCAAGAGTTTGGAACCCCTTTTTCTCCAAATCCTGGGAAAGGTAGGATTGTCTTTCTGGGATCTTTTAAAAATGGAAAGTTTTTCTCCCCAAGTCTCTTTCCTGCCAAAAAAATTAGGAAGATAGATAATTCAATCTCAAGGTCAAAGTTCATGGTCTCATAATGATATCTAAGTTTGCTGGGTAAAGGGGCGTGTGTCTGTTGGGGTAGATGCTGGGCACATGGGTGATATACCTCATTGGACTGGGAAATAGAGTGGAAAGTAGAATAGAAAGATTCAAAATATGGAGATAGGGTGGGTGGTGGTGGCAGAAGGGCCAGAGAAAGATTAGAAAGATCCTGTCCTCCGATACTTATAGCTGTGCCCTGGCTCACTGGCGGCTCTATTCTACAGGCCATGGGTGATGAGACAGGCGACTGGAACTGCCATTTATGTTAGTGTTAGAAGTGCTCGAAGAAAGGTGGTGTTTGGAAGGAGAAGGATTAAAAAAGGAGGAATATTTTAACAACCAATAAATGAAGAATCAGTAACTGTAAATGATAAGAAAAATTATTTTAAGAGCAAAACCTATAATTTTGAATATATAGCTAGTAACAGGAAGAAAGCAAGCTGGAAGAGCATAGTGAAAAGATGTTTGGTACTTGTGGAGAACTAGAAAATGATTAATTTGAAATGTAGAGAGCGAATGTACTTTTAACTTAATAGTGTTTGAATTACCATATATTTTAAACTAAAGAATAATTGTTGGAGAATAGCAAATTATTTTGAATGACACACTCTTTCTCGAAATTGATGTTGACTTAATGAAATTACATTGCAGATTGTACGTATATTTAGGATAAAAAGAGAAAGACCATGTATCCCATGTAAATTACAGCTTTGCTATGTAAAATAACACAATTATATATTCCTTAAGGTATTTTAGCATTTAGTCGTAAATGTTTTTATTAAAAGTACTCACATCATCAAATAGAATTAAGAGCCTCGTTCTGAACAGCCACTCACTCAGTTAATTAAGGTGAATAATGATTTATATCAGGCAAGTAGCCAAAGAGTTGTTTGTCTTAGTGTCTGTGTATTTCTACACAGACACTAAGAAAAGCACAACACCAAATACACATGTAGTTTTTTATTTTCTTCTTTTCATTTTTAAAAAATTTATTTATATTTGGTCTAGATTTGGTTTTGAGTTGTTTTATTTCTTAGTGGTACTGATGTTTAGTATAGGAAAAAGTTTCCCTGGGGGCTATATCCACAATAACTTTGTCATTGTTAGGTTGCTATGTTCATTGCATGGCAAGTTAATTCCTTAATATCAAACTGCAGCGTTTGGGTTTTCAGGGGCTGAGGCCCAGTAAAATCTTTCAGCTCATGCTCGACTAGTCAACTGTAACTTGCTTTCATAGGTACTTGTGTTTATAAACCTGACTGACAATAATAATGGTGATAATATTAATAACTTGAATTTATTAAAGTATAACTTAGCATGTGTCAGGCAGCATGTAGAGTGCTTTCCAGTACATAGTCTGAGTTATTCCTCACGACAGCCCTCAGTTGTATACTATGGCTGATCTACCGATAAGGGCACTAGGTCTGGAAAGAATAAATAACTTCAAGGGCACCACCCGGCAAGGAGTTTGGGAATATTGCTTTGATGGTGACCAGACATGGCTATAATTATAATCATGGTGAAAAAATGCTTCAGATACTTAAGTGATAGTGAACTCTCAGGGTCAATACACCTTGGAATGCATATAAAAAAATAGTGCTGCTTCCTGCTTCTCTTCCTGTGAGCTTTGTGGCTCCTTGCTCAGCTTGCTAGCTTATAGTACATGTTTTGGATTGAAATGGTTGGGGTGTGCATGGGCACAGGTAAGGAACTGAAGATACTCTGTTATTCTTCTTCCTGGCTTTACAGCTTGGATACCATCAGTGGTCTGGATGATGCCAGAAATAGCTGAATGTGTCCTTTTTGAATCTTGGTTGAAAATTCCAAAATTAAGTCAGTAACTGATTATCTGGGACTGTTTGAACTTCATCGGGTCATTTATTCAGCAAATAATTATTGAGCATATATTTTGGATGAGCTACTGTTCTGGAAATGCAACAGCCAATAAAACCTAGTCCTTGCCCTCAGGCTGGTGGAGGATTCAGGCAAATATATGGACAGTTAAAACAGAGTAAGAATATATGGACAGTTAAAACAGAGTTCTGAAAGAATGTATGGCAACTGTTGAGAGAGATTTCTGGTCTGTGCTTAATAGGAGGATCTAGGAGGAGAGTAAGATATTTAGGTAGACACCTACAGAGTGAGGAGCCAGTCTTGGAATTGTACAGTGTATGTCCTCTGTGTGTGTGTGTGTGTGTGTGTGTGTGTGCACATGCATACGTATGTGACACATGTATGTGTGGAGGGGGCTGTCTAGAAATTGTTCTGGGCTGGGAGAAAAGCACATTCAAAACTTGGGGCATTTCATGAACTTTTACCTAGTTCTACATGGGTTTAATGTACAGAGACTGGTAAGAGATGAGTCTGGAGAGGAATAAGTAGAAGGCAAGTGAAGGATTATGAATGACATGCCAAGGAGTTTGGCTGTTATCTCCTAGGACACTGGTGGAACATGTCACTCTGTGGGACTATTAATTGGGGCTTTCCAGAAAAACAAAAATAATAGGATGTATATTTATATCCATGTGTGTATATATACATATGTGTGTATATACTTACATACATTTATATAAATAAAAAGATAAATTTATTAAATTTATTAAAAAAGATAAATTTATTTATATAAATGTATATAAGTGAATATAGAGAGATTTATTATAAGGAATTGGCTTACAGGATTATGAAAGCTGGCAAGTCCCTAAATCTTCAGGGTAGATTGGCAAACTGAGACCCAGGAGAACAGATAGTTATTCTAGTCTGAGTCTGAAGGCATGAGAACTAGGAGAGCTGATGGTGTAGTCCTTGGTCTAGCATGCCCAAGACCAGGAAGAGCCAGTGTTTCAGTTTGAGTCCAAAGGCAAGAAAAAAGGTGATGTTGGATAAGGCAGTGCATCCTGTGAGCCTGAAGAGTGGTTGTACTAACTTTTAGGAAGGTAATGGAGCTGTGTACAATTTCATCCACCTAAAGATTGTCACACAGATGAGCATCTGACTTGAAGGAGAGAATCACCAAGGAAGCCTTATGAGAAGTATTCATCTGGCAGGAATGTTTATAGTACTTAAGGAGTAAAATCTGCTCCACTGGAATGCAAATAACAATAGTTTTAACATCATATAGTGTGTTCTCAAATAGTGCATTAAGGTCACTGGTGTGGTACAGAGAACTTGAGCATAAAAAACATTTTATATTTTGAAAGGAATATAAGATGCATGACATCTTTTGAATACCAGGCAAATTACTAGCTTGAGGAGATTGATAGTTTTAGTAGTAAATTTTACTGTGTTCCTTACATACGTTATTTCTTAAGTAAAATTAATACTTTGTTTCTGAATATTTTATAAAGTTTAATCTTGCCTTATGTTATTTTGTATTATGTTCTATTAGAGTATATTTTATTCTATTCATCAGCCACCTTTATTTCTTTCCTTTTGGTGAGGTTTTATCTTTGCAAAGATACATTTTCCATAGTTGCAATTATTAAAAAAAAATAGCAAGTACTTTGTACACCATCTTCATGGTAGCATTATCCATGTAGCCAAAAGATAGAAGCAAGGATCCATTACTGGATTAAAGGATAAGTATAATATGGTATAAACATGCAATGGAATATTAATCTTTAAAGGGAAGGAAATTCTGACACATGCTACAACACAGAAAACCCTTGAGTAAATTATGCTAAATTAAATATCCACATCAAAAAAGGGCAGATAGTGTATGCTTTATTTTATAGGGAGTTCTTAGAAGAATCAAATTCATAGTGACAGAAAGAAGGTGCTTGCATAAGGGCTTGGGGAAGGGGGAATGAGGGGTAAGTGTTTGATGGCTACCAAGTTTCACTTGGGAGAATGAGAAAATTCTGGCAATGGATGGATAATGGTGATAGTTATACAACAATGTGAATGTATTAACCTGATCTGTACAGTTTTCACAGGACTCCCAGACAGTTCTCCCACTTTAATTAGCCAGTCATCACATAAGCTATTTCTTAAGTAAAATTCATTATTTCTGAATAGTTTTTAAAGTTTGATCTTGCCTTACATTATTTTGTGTTATGTTCTATTGTAGTATATTTTATTCTACTTTTCAGCCACCTCTTTTTCTTTCAAGTGCATGGTTAAAATGGTAAATTTTCATGTTTTGTATATTTTACCACAATTGAAAAAGTAGCAAGTATTAAGTGACAATCAGTATGAGCAGGAAATGATGAGGATGGCGATGTCCAATCTTACTCCAAGGTGTGAGTAGTGTAGAGTGCACAATTGGAACACATATCTCATTAGCAATTGAAATTATTTAGGAATAAAATAATAACATTACTTTTAATTTATGTGTATTACTTTTTTCAAACAGTTGTTAGTACATAAAGGCCATTAAGTGTCAACACCTAGCTAACTTAATACATGCAATTGTTAGGTGTTTCTTTTGGCCTAGGGGCACTGTGAAAAAAATTCCCAAGACACTAAGAGCATTTGGGAACCTTTGTTATAGGAGGTGATTTTTCTCATACAAAGAGAAGGCTGGGGTGGATGCTTGTTGCGAATGGTTGGCAGCTCAGCTGTGTCAGGCCCAGGATCACAGAGTTTTCCATAGTCTTGGTTGCACAGTGGTTGCCTCACTCCAGCCCTGCCTGGAGTCTGCATTCTGAGAAGAGCAAAAGAGGAAGGAAGAAGGACAAAGGCCAAAAGACAAAAGGACAGTTCTCCCCTAATTTGTCCCCTTCAAACAGTTTGCTCTTCCCTCTTTAATTAGCTGTTCATTACATAAGCTATTTCTTAAGTAAAATTCATGCTTTGTTTCTGAATACTTTATAAAGTTTAATCTTGCCTTATGTTATTTTGTATTATGTTCTATTAGAGTATATTTTATTCTA